GTTTTAAACAAATCATGGTCAGTACATGCTGCACAGGAAGAACAGCTGATACTTAAGGTCAGTTAAATACAATCAGTCAATGAACCTGAAAGGGACTACAACCTGACACAAAGCATCTCTCCTGTTAAAGTTAATGTAGCTTGTGCACTGTCAGTGTTATTAAATAAATAAAACTTAACAGATATAGGCCAAACATTTGTGTCAGTTGAACGAAAGTTAACGAAATTAACTGATTTTTATAAAGTGTTCAATCATAACTGAAAAATGTCTAAAAATGTTCTGCGTATGACTTTTGTTTGTTGAAATGTGCTGACCTCTATTGGATTAAAATCAGAACTACAACCTGTGATACTGTTTGTGGTTTACAGTGTAACAGTGACACCTGGTGGACATTTATGCGCAGTACACTTCTAAACTCAGATTTGCATTCATGGAAATGTTCTTTAACCTTGAGCACACAAATAAAACAGAGGTGTGTGTTTTTGAACTATAAACATGTTCAATGAATCCCTCTATTTCAGGAAAAAAGAGCAGATATTTTTTTGTTTTGGTTTTTTTTTCTCCAGAAGTGACACAGACCGGGTCTCTGTGGAGTCTAATCTTGTGGAGATTTAAACCTGGTCCAGACGACTCCATGTGAAAACACTCTTCGTCTGTGTATATTGCCTCTGCCGCCTGTGAATGGAAACGTAAGCAGTTTAAAATCTTTCTATTTACAAATCACAGCCACAGCCAACATGTAAACATCCAACAGTGACGCCTGGTGGTCAAACAAACCAAGGCAATGTACAAGTCTATCAATAACATGTATTGATCAGAACAGATTAGCTCATTGGTGTCATCAAAGCAATTAGTAGTGTTATGTTGGTGGTGTAGAAGAAATACAAAGGCTGAGTCACTCTTCTGTAACTTTTAAAGCAGATGTGTACAGATTCAAGGCGTGGATACATTATCAGTGATGGAAAAAATACTTGAAAAATACTACTTTATTTTACTTTGTAGCCACTGAATACCTGCAGTAAAATGTATTTCATAAGATATTCTGATACACGGTCCAATCTGAGTATTCTGAATCCTTAGAATACTTTCTCCTTTTTTTTCCTTTTTGTAATTATTATTATTTTTTGTGCGCACAAATCAGATGTCACAGAAGAAGAAGGAAAATAATAATAATGATAATATAATATAATTAACAGTAATACAATGTGACCATCCTTCTTCCCCCGCCCCCCCACCCACCCTTCACCTCCCCCACCCACTCACCTCTCCCCCAGTCTCCAGAGAAAAGAAAAATAAATAATAATACATAAATAATAAAACACACACATATATACACATACATATACATATATATACATACATATATACATACATATATACACACCTTAGGACACTTTCATGCAGAGTTGCTCATAAATTACAGTCTTAAGATGTAACAAAGGATTAAAAACAGCTTTATGTTTGTTTCACTGTTTGTTGTGCATTTTCTGTCTCTGATTAGAGAAGGAAAAATGACATAATACATTCTTATAGTTTTTCTCACTCATTTTGTGCAGTTTGAAGCCTACATTGTGTAATCAAGTACCTCCAAGTATTCCTTCCTGTTTTCTGCCACCAAATGAAAAAGCAACTGTAGCAGAATACAGTTACTCATACAGAATGATTCATTAGTATCTGAGCTGTTCTTACACTGTAAAATGTGATGACTTGAACTGGGAACTGAGTTTTTACTCCTCACAAAAGATCTGAAACATCTGTAGGTTATCTTCAGTGATGACTGGACATTGCACGAAATGCACTCAACGCATTAAGACACGAATAATGACCTTTATTTGTCATTTTCTTCACATGTACATGTACATACAAAGGAACTGAAATTGGACCACTCCCCGTCCATATATTACAAACAAACAATACTTGGGGAAGACCACATGAACCAGACCGGGAGACAGCAGATATGGAATAAACAGTGAAGCACTGAGGGTAGGGACTGTGGGAAATATTATGTGTTGGTTATGCTAATTCACCTAATATTATGGACTTTGGAATGACAACAGGGTGGAAAACACGTATGATTATCTGTAGGTCTACATAACATGTTTTTTCTGTACTTTAAGTGCCATAAAGAACATGTTTTTCTGGACTTTGAGTGCCACGAAGCAGAAAAACTGACATATGTGGACCCCGTGGCATGTTCCCACCCATGATAAGGTGTACTGGGTCAGCAGTATTGTTCATTTTCTTGCTGTATATGCTAAATCAACAAGTTAATGTTTTGTCAAGATGTAGTATAAAGCTACCCCTGATTTTGAGTTGGTCAGAGACGTCGTTCCGGGGTGGCAGTTGTACTTGGTAATCAACTTGAATCTCTCTCAATGGAAATGCTGAAATAAAGTGGCCTGTTCTCTCGGATTCTCCATCTCCTGTGCTTCTTTTTAGGACACGCATTGAACCTTCCGAAAAAACCCACAGGACCATGCTCCGATATCAGTGGATAGTTTGGGGGAGTGCACAAGATTGATTGATTATTTATTTCGGTCAGAGGTATATTCTGACATTATTTCACAGACAGTCATATTTAACATACACAGACCGAAAAGGTGCAGGCTGAAGCTTCAGCTTATTATGCCTAACCTTTATTCCTTTATCAGAGCGTCATCTTGACATCAGTTCATCTTCATAAATACAGCGAGAGGAAACAGCACAACAAAGTACTACAGCACAAACTAAGTATCATAATTCATGTATCTGTCCAGAGTTAAACTTTTAAACTTCTTTATAAAGTGAAAGAGACTGTTTTCTGTACATTGTTCCAGAGCTCCACCCCTTTAACAGATATGCAAAATTTCATAATGTTTGTTCTGATTTTCTTTTTGATAAACAAACTAACAAGCACAAATCTAAGCAAGTCACAGAAATATCAAGTAAAACCTATTCATTAAATAATAAAATAAAAATGCTACTTACAGCAAATGCACACTTAGGAATGTGGTTTTAAACAAACAGGTCAAAATGGAGAATAATGGCTCTATGGCAGTACAGATACCTGCAATTTTTATTTTGAAGCTTATACTAAGTGTAATAAACCTTACCAGAACACATAAAAGTACAGAGAAATGTACTATTTCCATGTATTTATTTGTGTCAGATCTTCTCTATTAACTGGAATGGTAAAATGCTTTGTATTTAAGTGTCACATATTCTAAAATTTCCAAGAAAATTTTCGTGATGACACAAAAAGGGCAAAAAGTTATGCCATCTGTTTCACTTTTATGATATCCTCTCATTTGTTTTTGATTTAGTTAGAAAACATGTTAAGGATTTCAAAATGGCACAGTAAGTCAATATAGGGGACTGGGAAGTTCTAATAAAATTATGTCAAATTTTTGAAAATAATGTCCCAGATTATCCAAATTCATCCAATATCACACATCCATCTATAGTGTGACATTGCTTTCTGCAGGTGAGCTTTGTAACATTGATAGTAAATAAATACTATTACATTTACATATTTCTATTTCTTTATTTTATTTTCTCAAACCTGCTTTAACCAATAAGAATGCACAGACTGCGTACTATGACTGAATGACGCAAGGATACATCACTCTCCTCAGACTCTCCAGCCTTTTACGCGTTTGCTTGTTCCTATGGCCATAACAGAGGCGCATTTAAACACCAGGATGAAAATGAGACGCCCATAAAATCACACGTGGCTTATAAAAAATGCGTTTTATTTCAAAATCCAGGCCCAGATGTTTTGTGTTTCATCCACATGTTCTGCTCCTCACATGTTCCACACATCCAGCGAACAGAACCATTCATGATCCGAGCTCCAGAGCCCACTGTAAACGTGACGAGCTGCATGGGTTTATTACCATAACCACTGCGTAAAGGCGCACAGGGAAACCGCGACCCCCTCTGTAAATACAGGCCTGTAAACTTGATGACTTTATGAACTGACATTAGGCTATAAAAAAGGTTAAACTGGTATTGTTTGGGTCATTTTAAACCTTTATTGAATGAGAAAAGTGCAGTCACCAAAATGATCTCATCTCAAATCTCAAACTATTCCCAATGCGTATTTTCTCGTTACGCATTTATGCTGTATTCATGTTAAATATATTAAGTATTTCATAGCTAAAAGTGATAAATATTCACGTTGGAGGTATTTAAATAACATATATATTTTTAGAAGCTATATATTTTAATTCATAATTAATAAAACAACAACAGGATACACAATATTTGAACGGTAACTATAAAATCACTCAGTATTTACAAACTTTTTGTTGTTGTTGTTTTTGAGTTTAAAGTTTAAATTTAAAGGATGTGGGGGACGCAACATTTACCTTATGCAGAAATGTCCTCTTAATATTCTTTTTTTTTTTTTTTTTTTTTTTTTTTTATCATCCAAAGGGGTGGGAGACGCAACGTTTATCTTACGTATAATGCAAAAATATCCTCTTAAGATTATTTATTTATTTATTTATTTAGTTTATTGTCTAAAGATGTGGGGACGCAACAGTTACTTTACTTATAATACAAAAAATGTCCTCTTAAAATGATTACTTATTATTTTTTTAATCGATTAAAGGGGTAGGTGACGCAACGTTTACCTTACGTACTTACGTATAATGCAAAAATGTCCTCTTAAGATTCTTTTTTCTTTTTTTTTTTTTTTTTTTTTCTTTAAGTTTATTTTCGAAAGGGGAAAGGATGCAACATTTACTTTACTTATAATACAAAAAAAAAATGTCCTCTTAAGATTATTAGTATTATTATTTATTGATTAAAGGGGTGGGGGACGTAACGTTAGCTTTACGTATAATGCAACAATGTCCTCTTAATATTTTTTTTTTTTTTTTTTAGTTTATCGTCTAAAGGGGTAGGGGACGCAACATTTACTTTACTTATAATTTTAAAAAAAATGTATAGAAAAGATTTTTTTTTTTTTTTTTACTTATCTTCTAAAGCAGAGTACCCTTGCCTACGTGATAAATAGTGAAAACGTGGCTATAAGAATGACTAACATTTGCAAGGAGGCGTGTTTTTTTTCTCACCAAATAACCACACGGTGAGGAATGTGCTTGCGCCTGTGCTGCCGCCATTACGGGACGTGCTCTGCGGGACCCTGTACGTGGCAACGATAAAACATCCTCCGTGTGCGCTATTCATAACCCCGGAGAGCCGAGCTGTCCTGCGCCTGGTGACACGGTGTGCCCTCAATCTTCCGACACCGGGGAAATAAAGGTAAGACAAGATTTAATACTTCAACAGATTCGCTAAAAACACGTCTCCCCTCTCATCGATGCAGCCTGGGACGTGTTAGCGTGCGCCACCAACATGTTCGGCTGTCAAAACAACGTTCCAACAGGTTTTTGTAGCGGATAGCGGTGCGTTAGAATGATTTTTGCACGTCTGATACAAAAATTCTAAGTGAAATGTCATAATTTGGTCAATTAAAGTCGTATTTGTTTCATACTAGACATGTTACACGCGTTCTGCGAATCTAGGCTATCCATGCGTAAAAGCGAAAAGTTTCAAAAGTTTCCCGCTAAACCTCACATTTTCAAGCTGAGACATTACTTAAAATTGGCGTGGCTGTTTATTTACTACGCAAATTCTCTGTTAATGACCGCATAGCCTAAAGGAAAGAGCGGTGGTTGTGCCAGAAATGCGCAAATGTTCGGAGTTTTCTAGAAGACACATTTGGCGTAACGTCACGTCCCAAACATCCAGCTGGAGATGGAGCAACTGGGGTCAGCGAGGGAAAAGTGGAGTGAGGAAGTCAACACGAAAAACAAGGCTTCAAGTCATTCACCTTTGCTGTCAAGTATCCAGGTATTCTGATCCCTGTTCAAATCTGGTTTCCTCATCACGAACGTACCTGGAGTTGTGATTTGTTTGGTTTCATTAACACACAAACCATACAGGGTTCTTCCCTCAGACAGAAAACACTGTTCCACCTTTCAATGTCATGCAGCCTCATAGTACAGGAAGTGCTCCACTGTGTTTTAAAACTCCGTACACCTTCACTAGAATCATTTGGATCATTTCAGCCCAGGAAATGCCAATCTCTACTGAACAAAAGGTACCGTAAAATACTGGTACATTAGGTGCTCTGGATTATAAGGCGCACTGTCATTGAATGGTTTATTTTAAAACTTTTTTCACAAATAAACCGCACCGGACTTTAAAGGAAACACAACAGTTGGATGGGTCAGTTGGACTTTGTTTGTTGCGTTCACGGTTGTGGCGTGTAGGGAGGGTGCTGTCTGGGACCGCTGGATTGTCGGCGTGTTCGCAGTGACTCGGTTGTTCAGTTGTGTCTAGAAGTGGCACATTGCACTCGCTTTTTCGGTTCGTTCCTCCGTTCCGTTCCTCGTGGGCGTGGAGTGATGAGTGTGTCTGTGGGTGTTTTTCTCTGTGCGGTCGCTGTCTGCTCCGTGTGTGTTTGCGTGCGCTGCGGGTGGTGCGGCTTTGTAGTTTACTGAAGTCGTGCTGGGACACCCGAGTGGATTCGTGTATAGGGCGCTCTGGATTGCGGGGTACGCAGTCGTTTTTTTGATGGGGTTGGAGGCTTAAGAGCGCGCCCTCTAACCTGGAAAATACGGTAAAAGGTTTGGAGCTTCAGAAATGTAGACAGACTAATAATAATGTGTTACTCGTGTGAATGAAACAAAACACAACTCCAAGTATGTTTTGAGCAGGTAACAACATTATAACATGACTTAGAGCTCACAAGAGTCAGTTTTGCGAAATATAGGACCTTTAAGAAGTCAAAGCCATTCAAAAAATCCAGAAATTCCAATAAGTAAAGTTTGTGCATCTGGTTTAGTCTTCCAAGGCATCAACTAAACTAAAATACGTCTTCAGAAATGAGTTAACATCACTATAAATACCTGGACAATACTCTTTTCATATCAGTCTAGTTCAAACATTCATTTAAATCCAAATGGGACGTGCTCCAGGCCACGTCCCATTTGGTTTGGGTGTGAGGTGGGGTCCTCCCTGGATAATCACAGGGCATTTACAGCCCCATAACCTTTCACACAAATGAGCCTTTATTTTGGTTTATAAAAATCTACACATTCCTTCAAATTGGTGTTGAATTGGAACACTTGGCCAACCAAAATGTGATTTCAATGGATTGCAAACAGTTGTCACAGTAACCGAAATATCGTGATATTGTACAGTCAAAGATAACAATATATTGTAGGGTTGTGCAAAAATATAGAAATATCTCATCGTGTTGTTTATTTTGATGATACAGTATCGATATCGTGGGCTGCTGTATCAATATATCGCAGTAGAATATTTTTAGGTGTATTTTACAAAATTAATTTGTGTAAGAGCTACAGTTGTGTTGACATTTTCACTGTTGAATCTTTTTAAAATATATCTTATCGAATAGTATTGAATCGAAAGTACACTGAATCGAAAAACGTATCGTATCGTGGACTATGTATAGATAATATATGTATAATAATATGTATAATGATATTTGTTGTATTGGCAACTGCTTAATTATACCCAGCCCTGATATATATAATTACAAGACTCTTTCCTTAGAGTTGGCAGCAGTAGCTAAAAAAACAGAGGGAACTACATAGACCATGATCCAATTCAGTGAAGACTACATGAAGAAATAACTGTTATTAGCGCTTTTAAATATTAGTACTTTAAGCTGAGTTTTGTCAAGGCATTTTAAGATGGAAAAAGTAGTGTCTTCAGACTTTTGTTGGCTTCCACCAAATATCGAAGTAAATATTGTACCGTGAGCTGCATATCGTGAAAATATTGTAACGAGAGATTTGGATATTGCTACATCCCTAATTGAAAGTAGTAGACGTTGCTTTTTCCATTCCAATAAGACTATAAACATGTGATAGTAGTACTTAAAGATAGACTTCGATGAATTGGGCAGATCCAGCACTTTTTATCGAATCAGTTATCGGCCTTAAATCTTGAACACAGACCGATATTTAGTCTTGGCCGACCTGCTGCCTGAAAAGTACACACAAAGCTTTATTTGAATACTTAATTGCAGATAGATGACTGCTCAAACTGTGACTTGCAGGCTTGTGGTAAAAAGGGCGGGTAGGCGAGTTTGTCGTAAATTAAAATGACAATTTGGTAAAATAGTCAAAATCAGCCAAAAATATCACCCCACTGGCCTACGGTTGCTATGGATTCTTAACAATCGGTATGAGCATCGGACATGGAAAAAACCCATTAAGTTGAGAACAGTTGTTAGAGTTGGCAAAAGTATCGAAAATCAGACACTTAAACTAGGGATGCAATAGCTGAAACATCGTTATATCATATCATCATAAGTCTCACAATAATATCGGAGGCCATTACAATATATCAAATTACACGTCTTTGCTTAAATGAATAGTTACGGTGATTTTAATGTCTTTCTTTGTGATTTTAATGTCTTTCATATTCTGTAAATCACTTTGAATTACTTTGTGTATCAACTGTGCTATACAAATAAACTCGCTTTGTGTTGCCATGGTGCAGCAACAGCTAAAAAAAAACAGAGCGAACTACATAGACCATGATCCTTTGCTGTTGTCAGTGCAGATGAACGTGAACAAATAAATATAATTATTAATATTAAGCACTTTTAAATTATAATCCTTCAAATTATAACGTACCAAAGTGTTTTCAAGGTTTTTAAAAGGAAAAAAAAGCTGCAGATTGACGATTTTGTTCGCCTCCACAAAATATCGGAATAAATATCAAACCATGAGATGTATATTGTGAAAATATCGTATTGAGGGATTTTGATATTATTACAGCTAGGAGTGTGCAAAAAAAACTGAAATATCGATATATCGTGTCGTTTAATGTGCTCATACAGTATCGATATTGTGAGCTGTTGTATCGATATATCGCCAAGGGTATTTTTTTTGGTATATTTAGCTAAATTATTTTGTTTCAGAGCTACAGTTTTGTTGTTTGTTCAGAGGAAGGAAACTCTTTTATGCGACACATTTGACGTTTTTACTGTTTTGATGATTAAAATGTTTGTGTTTCATATGAACTTTGCACAAGAAGTGGTTTAACAAAGACTTTTAGAAGCACAGCCCCATCATTTAGTTTTTATTGAACTGTATGGAATCGATTTGAAATATATCGTATTAAATCGAAAGCTCACTGTATCGAGATATGTATCGTATCTGCAACTTCTTAATGATACTCGGCCCTAGATACATCCCTAACTAAAATTAATACTGAAAATTAAATTAGGGTATTGTAATCGGTATCAAAAATTACTTTGTAGTAATTGCGTTTGAAATTTTAGTGTAGTAGTATATTTTAAGTAGTCATACTCTTTAAATTTTCTTTTAATGTTTTTTTTTTTAGGGCTTTCGAATGAGCAACCACTGCTTTACAACATCAAAACTTGGACTAAACCTGGATTAGAACCGGGCCAAATGAAATCAGAATAAATCAACCTAAATCGACCTTTTATTCAAGAGCACGCAGCCCATTGTAACGGTATAAAAGCCTAATACCGGCTACAGCACAGATGCCCTGCAGGAGTGGATGAGTATAATACAATGTGGCAGGCTCTGGTCTGGTTAAATGAATAGGCGCAGAGCTAGATTGGGTCTGTAATCAGGCAGAGATCTGGTGACGTGGTTAGAAAAGGTCTGTCGTTTCAAAGCTGAAGCAACATTTGTACATTGGCAGACATTTCATTACAAAATTCCCATCTGAAATAAAACACACCATTGCAAACACGGAACTGTCAAATGAACTAGAATTTACGAAGACATGGATTGATTTAGTCCAGGTTTAGTTTTTACTGAATATTCACAATATAAATAGGCCTGTAACGATAACAGATTTTGCTGGACGATTAATTGACCAAGAATTTATTGCGGTAAACGATAATATTGACATTTTGAGACCAATTTCAACTATTATAATGACCAAATGCAAACACATTCTTTCAAAGATCAATAAACTTTACTTTCTAAATAACATTTAACACAGGAACTGTAAGACAACCAAAAACAACAGGCCTAAATAAAACAGATTTGTTAACACAGGATTTGTCTAATGTAATCTGGCTCACATCAAGGACTTGTTTCCAAAAATGCACTTGAATAAACCATTGCTGAACCAAATACAACCAAAGCATTAAATAAAATGGATTATTAATTCTCTCTAACAAAATTGTCCTTAAAAGTGATTTTAGTCGTTGACTTGCATTGGAATATTCTGTCATCTCT